GACATGCTACAGCTCTCACTGAAAAACACACCTTGGCAGCAACAGGTGTCAAAACAAAAGGGATCTCTCCAAATAGCCGAAGGCCAAATGTTGAGAGACCTCTAGAATCCTACATCACACTCGAACTGAGTGTCTCTTGTCTCAATCTATTCACTGGCCGGTCAACAAGCCTGTACACTGACCGCAGTGCCCATGCAACACATGTTCAACTCAGAGAGCCCCCGCCAAAATTAATTACTGAAACAAAACCTGTCCATCGGTCGAATACGCTTCTGTAAGGCGCCCGACCCGACCGACAATCAAACCCATGGCGCCGCGCCCCACATTCGCCTCCTTCCGCCGGAAGGCGCCAAGGGCCTACGAGCGATGTGCCCATCAGGCCCTTGCCGTCGAACTGCTTACCCGAAAGGCCAAGCGCCGCAATTGCACCTCCTCTTGGCAAAGTTCGCCCTGCTGATTATAGGTTAGGCCAAACAGCCCAAAGCCAGTAGCCCGCGTCACCGCGTGTCACCCTGGGCGCCTCGCGGCGGCCGTTCTTTTGACGATCCAACTCCACCAGCGCTTCCTGGGTGGTTAGCACCTGCAATGGAGATCGTGTTTCTGTGTGAGTTGCAGTATCAGTCAGTGACCCGGATGATGGAACAAATCATACCAGCGTAGACCCCAAACAGATTGTAAGAACACAATTATGCACTACGCAGGTCAAGCCATCATCAAATGTGTGTCTTCTTGGGGACCGCCCAAGATTGTTTTCCTCTTGGAACGCTCTCGCGCGGCGACAGTGAACACGCTTGTGCGCTAACAGGAAACACTTTGTGCGCCGACACTTGCTACAATGATGTGCCAGCAAGGAACACTCTTGTGCGCCGACTGGGGGGACACTTGTGCGCCGACAACGGACACTTTTGTGCGCCGACGTGGGCAAGCTATGCGCCAACAAGTCTGGCAGCACTGAGAGACATATCTGGCAGCACTGGGAGACAAATGAAGGCGCAAACTGGGAGGCAAGTAAATGAGCAGACTGGCAAGCATGCGGCCCGGCGATCTGGCACTGGGAGACACATACACACTGGCGACCATGGGCCCGGCGATCTGGCAGCACTGGGAGACACATGTAGGCACATATCGGAAGACAAGTAAGTGCGCACGCTGGCGAGCATGCGGCCCAGCGATCTGGCAGCACTGGGAGACAAATGAAGGTACATACTGGGATTGGGAGACAAGTAATTGCGCGCACTGACGAGCACGCGGCCCGGCGATTTGGCAGCACTGGAAGACACATACTGAGACAAGTATATGCACTGGCGAGCATGCGGCCCGATTTTTTAGAAAAGCAAGAACCCCAACAGTAAACTATTTGGGGAATGAAGGCACATACTGGGAAACAAGTACATGCGCACACTAGCAAGCATGCAGCCCGGCGATCCGGCAGCGCTAGAGCGCTGGGAGACAAATGAAGGCACGTACACTGGCAAGCATGCGGCCCGGCGATCTGGCAGCATGCGGCCCATTCTTTTTTAGCAGAGTAAGAACCCCAACAGTAAACTGTTTTGGGAAAAAGATTGGGGAAGGCGTTGCTTTTCAGTCTGGATAATTTTCTTGGGTGGGAATCCTAGACTATTTCAATCGTGTAGCCCGGGGGAGAGCCTTGGCCATGCGGGAATCTGTTGCTTCCAACCCATGACCTCTCCGCTTAGCTGCTTGCTGCTGGCGAGGGGTGTTTGTGGGAACCGAGCCAGGCTAATCGCTTGCGATTTGCCACATCCCTCGCATCTGAAAGAAGCTTCGGCTGTACTTCTCACCATCACGCCTAACATGCCAATGTTTGGACCCAGAATTAATTCCAAGGTGGCTGACCACGAGTCTAAACCAGGCGAAAAAATGCAAGCTCTGCCAGCAAAGCAACCATCACAAGTTGCAAATGCTGCAAGATCAGGAGTCTATTGGATCCCCATTCTCAAAAACCAAGGTGTTTCAGCGGCTTGCTTCATTTCAAACTGAGAAATCGGGTACCGCGCGAGCCTGATAGCTCGACTGAACCCAAGGCGCGCACACACACACACGGACTCCAGACGCCACCGTAGAGGAACCTTGGAGCCTTCTGTTTGAGGAGGCCTTTCACGTTGCTTTGTCTTTCAATCCAAAGTTTTTTCCCCCGGTCCTTGATTGCTTCGCTTTGGCGCGTTGTTGCTCAAGCCGGGGCACAACAGTCAGTGCTGCCCATGGACCGTCAACTTCCCTTCCTCCGACCGCAACCCCCATCTTGGAATGTCCCGAGAATTCCCATTGCAAAGGTACCAGCAGGCATGAGGCTAAACAAAATACCCGCCGTGCGCGAGGTTTCTTTGCATGCCTGCCATGTCCGACAGGCCGATGGCCAGCTCTTGCTATGGTCAAACTTGTGGGTGGCTTCCTATCCCCTAGATGGGGCATGGACAAATTGTCTGAGTTCCCTCAGGTCGTAACGGCTTCCTTTGTAGGCTCCTATGATCTATAGCGGTGCACGCCAGAACCCACCTCAAGTGACAAGAGTGTTTTGTCCGTGGCACGCCAAGTGAAACCAGGCACTGCCATAACCAGGGCCGCCTGCATGCGACCGGCTGAGTCAAGTCGATGGAAACCGGGCTACGGAAAGTTCGACTGGCCACCGCTCTAATCGGAGTCTGAGTCGACCCCCAAGGCCGATGCCAATCTCATGGCGAGGTCGCAGGCGCGGTCTCTTCTGGCCGCGTGATCCTCCATGGCCCTCACCTCCTGACGCCATAAGCTCTTGGTCCAAGTCTGTGGGGCCATACTACAACTTCTCTTCGCGATTGTTATAGAACAGCCTGAGAAAAGTGGGGATCTCCCCAACTGGTGAACTTTGGAAGCCTAAAGGAAATCCAGTGGAAATGGAGCTTCCCTTTAAAATCAAAGCATGTGCCCCATAAAGAGTATGCGTCATGGAGCCTGTGTAAAAAAGCAGATGCTTGGCATGCTCGTCGCTTGCAACATCGTCACCCCTGCTTCAGCCCTTTGTACCCCTGGTTCATGTGAACTGCTAGCTCGGTCAAAGCTTAGCAGCAAGACCAAATCAGCCATGAGGTCCTTAAGGTCATCCGCAAGGCCCTAAAAAGTCCTTTTGAATCTCACTGCAAACCCGCATGCCACATGACATGATGTGTTTACCTACCGCCATGCAAATGAAGCTGTGCAACACACGTGAGGAAAACATGCTTACTGCATGTATGCACCTGGGCTTCAAAACAAAGTCATGTTCAGCCTGTTTGAGATGAACATGGGCCTGTGAAAAACAATTATATAATGACAGTGGCGGCTAAGCAGGGAGTCAATTTGACAACAGCAGGCTCACATCCCTGGATTCCAAACAGGCGCGATTCCCACTCCCGGCCCAAACCGACGATGCAACGGCATGAGCCTTGCGCCAGGTGCAAGGCAAACATGGGAACTCAGGCAACACTTCTTACAGCTGGTCTTTCACTCCCGCCAAAGTTAGTTGCTCTTTGAGCACGAGCATGCAATGTCGGACCAAAATGCCGCCACATTTCAAACATATTCTTGCAAACACATTGATTAGACCACAGGCCCTGCCCGCAATTTTTGCGTTGACCTGTTCTTGCCCGTCGTCCTTCATTTCATGGGCCAGCTTCTCAAACTCGTCCGCTTCAGCCAAGTCCTCGTCCTGAATGCGGTCGTGCACCTTCTCCATGCCAGTTGGCCTGAGCTAGTGAGATGAACTGCCCATTAGTATCGTGACTTGCTAGCACCAGTCGGATGTGCATAATGGCACGGGGCTCTTCAAAACCGCATGCCTGTGAAGCCAACGTGTCCGGCCACAACTGATAACGCACAACTTGTTGGTCTGGCAAAAGGATAGGCATGAGATGTTGGAGGCGCCAGGTCTAGCAAGCAACTGGACACATCCTAGTCCTCTTGCATCAGTATCCAAGCCAGTGCTAAGTGCAGGCAAACCCGATTCATGAGCTTGTCAGACATCGCCGGATGTGGGACAGAGTCTACAAGCATGACCCCACAAAGCTCCTGCTACTCACGTAGGATTGTTGGTCTTTGAGTCGCGTGCCAAGCGAGCCATCAAAAAAATGCGTCCAGTGGCAGCAGTCCTCTCTCATGTGCCATACCCACAGCCATGCATCATGCCCTTCATCCAGTAAATCAAGCTAAGTCGGTCTAAGCTCACTATATATGCATAAGTAGTTCTGGATTGGCTGCGGCGTCGGGGCTTTGACTCAACCTTCTCCAGCACCAACTGGCTAAGAAATGCGGCCGGGCTGCTTGGAGACATCGCACTTGGCTTTTGGCGCGTCTGGCAGTGGCGTGTAGCCATTCGTTTCGGCGCGTTTTGCAGGCTGCTGCTGCTCAGGCTCCACTGCGATCGCCTCGTGTGACAGTGCGCCGCATGAAGGCTTTCTTTGACTTCAGACTTTCCGTTGGACATCCACGCAGGAAGACAAAAAGGTAGCCAAACATCGCCAGGACACCAAGTGGGATCCATACATGACTTTCCCTTCCTCCCAGCAATATCCATACATGACTTTCCCTTCCTCCCAGCAATGGAGCTCAGCCCAGGCCCTAGAATCTATTGGGGGTTCAAACTGCCACTCTTAGAGGATCAACCAGCAACTTCAGCTGCAAACTTGCACATTCCAACTTTCAACACGAGCACCAAGTGAAAGCACCTCAATAGATGGCCTGAGTGATAAGCAGCAGTGTTGTCCCGGACATGCTCACTTTTGAGGGGACGGTACAAATGAATCATCATGGACTCAAGATGAGCTCAGCCATGCAAAAATAATCCCGTCCTAGGATGAGCAAGCATCAATGCCGCAACGCCTCGATAGCTGAAACATTTGCCGGTGTCCACTTCACTCGGCCGCTTGGGCAACCCTAGATGAGTTCTGACGTATGGCTTGCAGGAAGCTACACACATGATTGTCCTTCAGAGCAAGCTGGAACCCGTCTGTTAGAACCAGTTTAGGGATCAGGCATAAATTACAGGCACAGTCACAGTTCCCCTTCTGGCCCTTCATGATTGAACCGCTGAACCGGTCTTCTCCAGCCCGCAGAATGACTCCAACCTGGCCCTGCCAACTGAAAACCAACACCTGCCTTTCCCACTCTGCATTTCCTGCCACATATCTTTTTCTGGCAAGGTCGTGGGGCCGGAAAACATGGGACACCACCCAACACACCGACCTTGCAAGGCGCCACCCAGTTTCAACACTGTCACCCATTTTACAAAACAATCTGCCTTTGGTTCCCCTTAGCCCAGCGCCTGCTCGCTACTTTTGCCCAACCCGCTGGAAACGCCGCCAAGCGGCAGCTGCCGGCTTTTTGGCGGTGAGGCTAGACCACGACGAGTGGCACTCCAAAGCCTTTGGCACAACGCATCTGACTCGCCGTGTTTTGATCAGAGCGGCCTACAAATCTCACACACACACACGCACGAAGAACACAAAGGGAAAGGAAAACACAACAAAAACACATGCTACACAGAGTCAGAATATGTGTGAGGCTGTCCTTCAACCACATTGCACATGGCCTAAGGTGAGGAGGTTGTTTAGACAAAATGTGACAGGCTTGTGGCACGCCGCTCCTGTTTGGAGATGCTACGCCACTTTGGCCGGCTTGCACATGGTCCAAGCATCTCATGAGATAAGCAGGTTGGAACCTTCGCCTCTTGAATATTCGATTCTACCAGAGCTCCTTTTTGAACAGAACCAATGTGCGTCTGCCTCTGTTCCTTACGCGAGCCTCTTGCCCTCAGCTCCAGCCTCCATGAGGCGCAGGATCGAGTTCTCGGGCACATCGTCCAAAAGCCCCGTGCGGCGATCCCCCGCGCTGCTCCTCTCCTTGAGCGACTGTAGGTCGTCGCCGCCCAAGGGGCAGCACAGGAACTCGTAGCCGTGATCGATGCACCACTCCCTCGCCTCAGGCTCAGCCCAAAGTGGAGAAAAAACATGTTTGCCCCTGCTGTCCACAAACTTTGCATACAGTTCATTCATGTGTGAAGCTTGAAGGCAAGGCCAAGCCAACATAAGCCTCTAAGTCAGGACGCCTTATACAAGTGGCATATAAGCTCCATACCCCTACTAGTAGAACCCATACCTGAAAATGGTCTGGAAACAGTGACGGCTATGAGAGGTGGTTTCGGGCTTGGAGGGTTCGAGGCACGTGCTTTTCTGGTTGTGACAGCTGAAGGGTTCCAAACCCCAGGCCAGTAACTTTCGTCAAGTGGGAAAATACAACAGTTGAAGATCCAACCAAGTGGCACCCAAGTTGTGATGGGTTCCATGTTGTTAGCTGTTAGGTGTTTTTGTGTCAGACACAGCCAGGTTGCTCCATCCAGCTGCTCCGAGTCAGCCCCCACCGCCACACAAAGCTGAACGCGGTCCGGGCCCTGCAATTTTGTCCCGCCCCAGTCCCGTCCGGGAAGAGGGAAATCAATTGATTCTGAAGACTAACCTTTTGGAGGCAAGACACGCACCCCGGCAGGTCTCACATCTACAAATGGAATCAACTATATAAATAGGAGTATCTTGAAGAAGCCCCTCTTGCAGCCATGTGCTGACTTTCTGTCTGACAAACATGTGCGACATACAGTAACAGGATAACAGCTCCGACTTAAAACCAAAAAAAAACACTCGCACACACACACACACACATTACATTAATCATTGCATGATTCAGAGATCCTGCATCCGTGCATCATTTCAGCCGTGGTTTTGCTGAAGCTGCTCTGGAATGTCGGGCTTCTTGCTAGGCAACTTCAACGGCACGAGTCTCACGATTGCGTTTGGAATGGCATCTCCCACCAAGCGATCGGCGATATGATCGTTGAAGACATCCTTTACAAGCAAAGCATTTGGAACACCCCTTGGAAGAAGCGTCGAGCGTGGCCATGTGGCCCCTGTTCAATCAATCCAAGAAAGTTTCACTGACCTGCTGATTTTTCAACAATTCAATTGGTTGGATGTGAAGCGACCTAGCGGCTTCAGACTTGTGCAGCCCCCGGCCTTCAACTTTGGCAACCCACCCAATTTCCCACAGGCAAAGCCTGGCCCAGTTTGTTTCTGTTGCTCCCGCCTCCTCCTCCTCATCTCTAACCAGTCCCTGGATGAGTTTAAAGGTCTCCGACTGCTCCACCTCCCAAACCTGGGTGCACCCACACATAAAAAGAGGAAGGAACGTACTGGATGAACGAACGACTTGTGATCCTGTCTGATGAACAGGCGCCAGCTTTGATGACGACAACCAAACTTCGGCAGACTTCTGAGTACACCTACGGCATGGCAACGGAATCCAAGCATACTTTTTGTCACAGTTGTCACCTGCTCCTTGACATGCAAACCTAGTAATGGATTTGCTGGCTATGAATTGTGCACCCTGCACATATGCAACAACTACATTGGCAACAATGTCGTACGGGTGTGACACAAATAGGGTAACCTCAAAAAACAAACACGCCCATGTATCGGCATGACTTTGGTTCATCATTTCAGCCACATGGGTTGCCCTGGCCTTGCCAGGGAATGAGCAAGAAGGGGCGTCTTGTGTCACAGAGTTGCCCAGTCCAAACAAACATGAAACCAAAAAAGCCAATCCGGGAAGAATGGGGACCTCCTTTTGGGTTCCACTTGGTTCCATACCAATCAACTTGGAAGCAGCCTCTCCTCTATAAGCAAGCGCTCAGGCCTCTCAGGTCGAGAGGCGAAAATGACCGCCTCCGCGGCGTCCAGCTGCTGCTGGTCAGCGCTGTCCAGTGCCAAGACTTTGTACCTCTGCGCCAATGCCCGGCGTATCCGGGTACGAATACTTGCGCAATCTCATTCTGGGGCCACACCAAAGGGCATTTTAGGTCAAAACTGGGCCGTCGATCCAAGCCTTGCCTCTGTTTGGGCAAAAAGCGGGTAGATGTATGGCCCAATCCGCCCATGTGGAAATGCACGGGGTTCTGCATGCCGTTTTCAAGCCGGCACACGCGCACACACACACACACAACCATTGCACATGCAGCAGGCCCCGGGCCAGAGCTCGCAGTTTGCATGTTGAAGCGTGGTTGCTGCTGGACGCACAGCTACTTCAAATGAACTTGGGCTGTCATGGTTCACCCTAGCAACCTGTGAGGTTGCCGAGGCTTGTTCAGATGCTTGGCAGAGGCAGGGCGGGCTCCCAAGATGTGACATTGTCTGCATTTTGCACCCATTGCGGGCAATCATTATCCGTAGATAAAGGGATGGCCAGGTTCTCATAAGATTAGGCCGCCGTAGAACCCTGAGTGCTGTAACACCGATGGGTCCATGTGGCCTGCTTCGGGAAATGATGTCATTTGCGCATGAACCATGTGCCTAGGAATTTCGATGCACAGGATATTGGAGCAGCATGTGGCTTAACGGGGGCCACTATCACGCTTCAAGTTTGTGGCGATAACTGTTGCTGCCGTATCCGGGGGCCTTGACCAGCGCCCCTCAGTAAAGTCAGACTGCCGGCCTAAAGTCAGACTACCAGCAAGCCGCGTGGTACTTTGTGGCCAAAACCCATCGCTCTATAAAACCCGGGCCGCCTCTTACCAATGGAATAGATGGCTGTGGCTTCAATCCCATCTCCTCTGACTCTGGCCTCTGGTCTGTTCATAAAAGTCCGTAACTGTTTCAAGACCGTCTCAGTAACAAATATCATTTGCCCCAACATGCAACATTCAAATCCAACCATTCCGCGTACTGCAGCAAATAATGTGTCCAAAAATGCCAGCTGGCACCTAATTCATTGCGGCCGGGGACGCCACACAAGCATTCCTAACTGCTTGCGTTCATGTGCACAAATCTGAGTTGGGCCAACGCACTACGACCATCAAGTAGCGGTTTTCAATTCTTGCGGCAAAAGGGGTCACATGCCTTTTCCAGCAAGGTTGCTCAATGTGCGCCGTGTAGTACTTTGTCTCAATCCTCAGATCGGAGGATTCACGCAGAATCAGCTTTGGGGGAGCGATACCTGATTGTTTCAGGCAGGCGCACACTTCAACAAAGCGGACTGGCACAGACTAGCTGGACCATCTCCCTGAAATCTCCCAAGCTAAGGTGGCTCCAGTCTGTGGTTGAAATGGACAACCTGGAATGAGTTCTAGGTATTTCATTCTCTGTCAGGCTGCAGTTTTGCACAGCCCAAGTGACAATGGCGACCCCAAGGGATGCGCTTCATGGCAAATTGCCTCTGGAATCTTGAACATAAATCTCATCCATCCTCACGGAAACTAGGCTTCACAAAGACAGGAGCCAAAAGAAAGAAGGACCCCAGCAACCTAGCATCACTATGGGCTGACCGTTGGAAACCTTCTCCGTTGCTCAAACAGGAGCGGAAACTCATCCGTCACAATGGAAACCACTGCCGTCCGGCAGAATGAAGGGTTGATTCGGCAGAACTCTGTACCATGCCAAGATCAGAGTCCCCTTTGTCTCCTCTATTTCGCCTGAAGATTCGGAGAGGCAAATAATCCCCAGGAAGCCCTCAAGCCTTGCTGGCAATACATCAAGAGGCAAGTCTTCTGGGGAACACAGTTTGTGAGAATGTGAGAAGTAAGAAAATGCCCCAACCAGCAGGACAGCGCAAGTAGCGGTCCCAGCAACACACACCCCTGATCCTCTCGCATTTCTGCCAACCGTTCTTCTTGAATGCCCTCTCTTTCTCTCTATTCTGCCAGCTCCGATGCAAAAAACAGTTGGCTCATTGCTCAGCAATGCAACTACGCCTTGGGCCTTTCTGGTGGATTTGCTCATGGAGCACCAAGTTATCGACGAAACTTCGGCGAGAAACTGTGTGGGCTGAAGTCCAAGGACCGTTGAGAGTTCCGACGAGGCTCGTGCCCACCGCATCAGAACCGGCGAGCGCGGGCAGGAGCTTTGCCCCCAGAGCGCTATCTCCCACCAGGAGCACAGTCGGCAAGGACATGGCTCCCAAAATGGTGGAGGATGCTAAGGAACCCTTGGTTGCCAAATCCGGTGGTGCTCTTGGAATAGCAGCCTGTTCAAGCTGGTTTTGGCTGTTTCACAAGCGCAATCAGGCTCCTGCCCTTTGAAAGGGATCCGCTTTTTGGCATAAGCAGCTTCAACGGGGATCCGCATTCTTGCATACGGGATACAACTCAAATGCCTGCGCTTCATGCGCTAAAAATGCTTCAGCGCCGAATCATGTTGCAATATACAAAGTACACGTATGCAAGCAAATGGCACTGTAGCGAAACAGCACAAACTCATGTTGTGCATTTTGCACCTGCATTCGCTAAGAAAGCTACATGTCACTTGAACAGCACGAAGGCCGGAGTTGACTTGCGGTCCTTCCCAAGGCTTCCAGGAGCGCACTTTGCAGTTTGTGGCTTCCGGAAGTGGAGGGAGCCAGTTTTCTACCCCACTTGGAACATGTAACGCCCTCTTGTTTCCTTTCTCGCCATCCCCGCTGAAAAAAATGCTTCGCTCGGATTGTTCGGCCTGGGTGCAGCTCGCGAATGGTGGTACGCCCCACTCGGTTTGCATGAGATCCTTGAACCCCATTGGGGAAACGACCCCACATCCAATTCTAAGAACCCCTCAAACATGTTCAACCAAACTCCCAGCCGGGTTTGGGTGCACCCGGCCGCCTCATGCGCAAGCTCCTCGATCCGCAGCAGCCGCTGTCGGTCCAACGCCATGCGTCGCTCTGTGGAAAATGTGCTGTTCAAGTGGCTGGGGCCTGTTCCCTGTGAGAAAACAGCCGAACATGAAACAACAAGTCCAAAGCGCCGTAGTTGAAAGGGCGAGCAAACGTATATCAAAGTGTTGCACCAGCAAGCTTTGCCAGCTTCTTGTTCAGCGGGTTCTAGTCACATGCAAGTTACACGCAAAGAACTGGCCCTGGCAGAATCATGGACCTGTTCCCGTCGATTGCACTCATCCCCTGCAAGGATCACTGACAGAAAGATCAACCACCTGTCAACCAGCATGGCAAGTGGCAAGTACAGTTTCAACAATGGCCAGGGTGCCACACTGCAAGGATCGTGGCCCTCATGTCTCAAAGAGATGGGCATATAGTAGATACATGGATATACATATGCACAGTATATATGGTCCAACGCTGCTGCAAATTCCCGCAGCCGGCTCGGTAAGCAAAACATGTTGCACCATAGACGTGGATGTGTGTCTTTTTTGAGGTTGGTTTAAAGGGACACCAAAAGAAAAAGCGATGCCATTCTGAGGGTCCCCCTATTTTGACGAGCCATACCCAAGTGATGAATCAGCCTACCCATTCTTGTCAGAATCAACATTGGACACTGACAGGATCTGCTTTGGCCGGCGTGAATGACCCGATCAATCAGGAGCCTATAAGCGGAAGGCATGCAAAAAGAAAGACCTCATTTTACAAAATGTGGATCCTAAAAGCCAACACAACCTCAAGCGTCTCCAGACTGCCCAGCCTGTCCGAGCTGGCTGGTAAAAGTTATACCAGGCCGCATCCCTGCGAAATCAAGCAGCCATCTGAAAGTGTAGGCCGTGGCAATGAACAAATGGATGTGTGCTTCCTCAATAAATTGATGCCTAGTAATCCAAGCGAATCAATGAGGCAAGCACGTGCGAATGTATTCACAAAAAAACAACTATTACACAATTGTCCATAATGCAGCACCATACACACCTGAAAACCAACCAACTTTCGATACTCCATGAGCAGGTATCTACTGACCGCCTGAGTTCCTCATACGTACTGATGGACTCTTTCAGTCAGCATGCCTAAGGCATCACCTTGGAAAGAAACAGCTTAATTCTCTGAGAAGCCTGGTTGTTTACTTCAGATTTGCAGACCCGAGCTTCTCGAAGCAACACGCGAGAGCATGTTTTTCTGTTTATCAAGACCTCTAAGAACACAAAGAAACATGCCTTTGCTGCAGCACGTGAATGAATAGAAACACAGTTTGGGAATTTCAACTCATCGACGGAGCTCGCTTTCCAGCAAAACAACCTTGGAACAACGCCACCCTGACTCCCTGTGAACCTTTTCCTCACAGCATCTTCCACGGCAGGCCATTCCCCGTGGCTTCGTTCCAGTCGCGCTCAACTTGCTGGAGCAAGGCCCGTTCTGAGTTGGTCTTGATGACCTTGGCCCCAACGACACTGAACCCCAATTGTTTGTCACACTTTTACATCCAATGAAAGGCATCCTGGCGCTTGTGGGATGGACACTGATGAAGACCCGTTGTCAACGGGACTTTTTTGGCAAATGCCCCAACGAACCCAGCACCAACGGATACATGCCAGGGCCGATTAGCTGAAGAACCACGAAGCTACGAAAAACATCGTAGCTGCAACTACAACAAAAGGACGAATCAGAATAACACTGAGCACAGAATAACATCCACAGCACCAAACAGCGCATGACTGTAAGATGGTGTCCGCAAACTACCCCTACGCACTACCCGCCGGGAAAACAGGTTTATTGCTTTTTTTTAAACTGGCTTGCTTGAAATCAATCAGGCCTTGGGGCTAGTGGGCCGGGGGGTCCAATTTGCCTGACCCAAAGAATCTGCCAAAGAAGGCCAAGTTTTGCCAAGCCGGACCGTCCAAAAGCCACATGATGACATGGTGCCCTCTCGGCTTCAACAGGCGCCCTATTTGAGTATCACGTCTTGGGTCCAGTTTAAAGCGTGCCTCTTGGTGCGTGATAGTTACAAAGGAGACCTTCGAAAAACTATGGCTGTTCATTTGGTTTCTCCTCAAGCCAACCTTAGAAAACGAAAATAAACCACGGAAACGCACAAACACACAAAAAACAAACAAACAAGCAAGCAAGCAAGCAAGCAAGCAAGCAAGCAAGCAAGCAAGCAAGCAAGCAAGCAAGCAAGCAAGCAAGCAAGCAAGCAAGCAAGCAAGCAAGCAAGCAAGCAAGCAAGCAAAAAAGCCAACAAAAGAACAAAGAAAAACAAAAAGCAAGCAAGCAAACAAACAAACACCCAAGCAAACTTAAACAAGCAAGTAGGACAGCAATCAAAGTTTTGAACGTAACGAAGTAACAAACTAACAATCAACCCAAACAAACAAGCAAACAAAACAACCGTACCAACACTCAAACCAACCAACCAACCAACCAACCAACCAACCAACCAACCAACCAACCAACCAACCAACCAACCAACCAACCAACCAACCAACCAACCAACCAACCAACCAACCAACCAACCAAAAAACAAAACAAAAAACCAAAACCAAACAAACAAACAAACAAACAAACAACAACAACAAAAAAACAAACAAACAAAACAACCACGCAAACTACCGAACACACAAACAAAACAAACAAACAAATAAACAAGCAGGCAAGCAAACAAACACACAATCAAAAAACAAATGAAACCACAACAACAACAAACAAAATAAATATATAAACAAAGAACGAGTGTCTTGTGTCTTGTATGTCCGCATGAGTCCGTGAGGCGAACTCGAGTCGGGGCAGTGCACATGACGTGCGCGGTTGCGCTAGCCTAGCCGTACGAAGCCAATTGCTCACGTTGCAGCTCGGCAAGCACTTGAAGGAGAAATGAAATACAAAAGAAGAGCAGCTGAACATGCTGCTCACACGCCTGCTACCCTGCGTCAGCTGGCGATTGGCGACGGGGGTGCTCATTCGAGTTCCCCGTGTTTGCGCCACCGGAAAAATTCAAGCACGACTATTGCGTGCTTCGAGCTGGCGAAACAGCGGGTTGGGAGGGGCAGCCCCTCTTGTTTTGACTTCTCCCCCTGTCTGGAAAACTGGGGTCGTATCTTAAGCAGAATCTTCTGGTCTCTCGTCTCTTTTGCCACAGCGAGCTGCACTGAGCTTTGCATCTCCGGCATGGTTTTGAGCGCTTCGTGAAACTTGATGAACTGCTCAAGTTTGCTGCGGATCGCGCTGTCCACTATCAAGGCCTGAGCCACCGTCCCGGCCACTGTCCAGCGAGGCGGCCCTAAAGGGTGAGGGCCGGATGTTGGGATCTTCGCCTTCCAGGCCTCCATGGCTGTCAGAAGCGCTTTGCCCAGGGCGCTGTCCTTGCTCAGGATGTATGCGTAGCAACTCCATGCCTCCAGTTCCCGGATCTCCCGGCCGCGCTGGCTGACAACCTTCACGACGTTCCGAAGTTGGCTGGTGTGAAAGAATCGAAAGCCCGGACATCGGCTTGCCGCAAGGGTCCGGCCCAGCACTATGAGAACTGGCAGCTGCTGCAGAATTGGCTTGAGCCAACTTGTGGCATCTTTTGGCACAAGCCTGCACATGCTCCAGCTGCTCCATGGTTGTTAACTGTTCTGCCACAAGACTGGTTTCTTACATGTCTACGACAAGCTGAGACCTCCGTAAACTCTCTGCCACGTTGCAAGCACTGTTTGCTCTGAATAGCATTTCGCACGGGATGTTTGCGGATGACATGCTAAAACGTCCGTCCATGCCAGGGCCTTTCGGCGCAAGCGCCGAAGTAGACCCCAGTTTGCCAGTCTGCCACTGTAACCTCGGCCAAGCTTGCCGGCGTGTTCCCGTTGCTGAGGATGCACAAAGAACAAACCACCTCCGCAGGAGACTTCGCAACTTGCGCTCGTACCAACACACGAAAGTCAAGTGGAGAACGGCCAGGCATCGCAGAAGCAGCAATCACAAAATCCAAAACTGGATCTGACACCGAAACAGCAGCAAAGACATCAATGTGCTGATCAAGGAAAAAAGGGTACGCCACACAGACAATAGAGCCAGTGAGCGGCTCGGCGGCGGTACTTTAGCAATGCGCAAAAGCAACACCAAAGACAAGCAAAAAGAGACACCGCGCGAGGATTGTACATTGCTGAACAAACACTCCCTGAGAGCCAGCGATGCAACCGGAAACCTCTTTGACAACACGACAAAAAAGCCGACATGATGCTGAGACGCATGTTTTTATTCTCATGCGGCACAGTGAACGCGTGTGCTCAACACAATGAAAAGAGCCGACATGAGGCT